GTTTATTATATTGGTCTTATATATGGATAATATTTTACTTTACCAATAATGATCTTGATTTATTATACTAAATCAAGAATTTGTCACTAAGAGTTTTAATATGGTTGATATGAATGAGACATCTTATATTATTAACATTGAGTAATTCAATGATAGACCTCAATGATTATGAAGATTGTCTTAGAAAGGATATATCAACCGAGTCTTGAAATGATTTTGATATACAGCTTTGTTCAGTAAATCATAAAAGCAAAATTTTAGTCAATAGTAAATGCTTGAAAATGACTTGAAAATAATCAGATAAATAAGATATTCTTTGTATATGCACAGTTGGAAGTCTATGCTCAAGTCTCTGTTAGAAAATATATCAATTTTTATAATTAAAATGTTGGGTATATATTTGAGTTACTCAGAAGTAAAAACATTAAAGGACTACAAAGAAAGTAATTAGATATCCGGAAGGGACAAATGATTAAATGCTCACATGTATGAAATTATATCAGCTTGAAATAATGGTATTTTTCAGATGCTGATTGTGTAAATTGCCTCAATAATAGGAAGTCCACCTTACAGTTAATATCTATATCAATTAGATGGGCAATTTATTATTATTAATAATAAAAGTTGATTTTGTGGCATGCTTTGAGGCCACTAATCAAATTTGTGACTGCAAACTTTTTATCTCATGACTTGGTATAGTCAGACTCAATTATCAAGTCATTGAAGATATTTTATGACATTGCAGTAGTTTTTTTCTCTAAGAATGACAAGTACTATTGCATCTATATGCATTATGGTATAAAGTACTTGATGGTTAGAGAAGATGAGTCCAGAAACATCTAATGTCAATTAATTACTTGAGTTCCACTGTATTGATTGCTGATCCATTCACTTAGGACTTACAGTCTAAAGTATTTTGAAAGAACATGTTCTTATGATTGGGTTTGTGAGCAACCCATAAAGGATATGGTGATGCATGTTTGAGTGGATACTATAATTGATATTCTTACTTACGTACTTAAAGTTATTTGTTTCTACTATCCTATTCATAATTATGTATGTACATATTATGGTTGAATGTGATGACAGGATTGTCTTGACAAGACAAATTATAGGGGTCATTTTGGACTGCATTAGGAAAGGCTAATAGTATTGTGGTACATAGAAGGAAGTGTGACACTGATGACATACAACCGCTATGACTCATATTGTTAGTCAAACTTAATGTAGTATTATTATTATTATCGGACTTATTGGCATATTTTCTAAAATTCACGCGCGTGTATATAGTTTTTCAAAAATTTCAAAATCCAATTGAGTCAAATTGTTTTTAAATAAATTTTGTTTATTTATTTTTGATTTTTAAGTCTTTTTGTATCTTACCAATTATTGGGCCACGTGGGAGAATGTTAGATTATGTGGCCCTATTTAATTAGGTAAGATATATTATAGATATTATTGGATTCTGATTATAGTTATTGGCCAATAGAAAAGAGGTCCATATTAAAGTAGGATTCTTTAGGAGATAACCTTGATGGAAGGAACTCTCCTAATAACTTATCCTAGACCCTCTGCTCTCGCCTATAAATAGACACGACCTCTAGGGGCTAAAAATATCATCTGTGTGCATCTGATAGACAGGACCTTTAGGGGTCATGCACTACATCTAAATAGTGCAGTGTGTCTCAGTCAATTGAGAGATTAAGGTTTTTCTCTCAATCTCCCTCTCCTTTAATCCCCTAATCCATCAATCTAGGTGGTCCTGTGAAAAGATAGGAAAGAGGAGAAGGATCTAGTTCTCTTTACAGATCCTTGCAGGTTGATATTTCAGATCCGACGATGGAGCGCTTGTAGATCAGATAAGGTTTATTTTTCTGAACAACAAGAAAGGTATGCATCGTAATATTGTTAGATCCAATTTATTTGATTTCAATCTTGGTATTAAAGTTTTTCCGCATTACAAATAGCATGATTATAGATTTTATGCTAACAATAAACTCCCTCAAGGTAGGAGGCAGCGGCGCTCCTCCGGTGATCAGCATGATCACGTAGGCCACATCGTAGAGGCCATGGAAGGTGACATAAACGGAGTCGTAGCGTCTATCAAAGAGCTTGTTGCGCAAAACATTGCTCCACTTGTCGCCATTGATCCCGTTTCGCTGGTTTCCCTCGAGGTCATGGCCGCTTCGGCGCAATAGCTCGAGCGACTTAGGCGACGAAGGATGCACCAAGGGATCGAAATCAGAGAAGTTGAACTGCCAGCAGCAGCCCTGCCATGGAGTGCTACCGTTCTCATCGAATAACGTGATTCCGAGCTGTATCAGCTTCATCTTGTCGACGTTGTATTTGACGTCGGCATACCGATCTTCCTCGGAAGCATAGGGAGGCGTCGACTGGATGAATCCAGGGAATTCTGTATCTATGGCAGCATAACGAAAAGATCGATGGAGATCGACGAGAAGATCGAGCTGGGCGGCGATGTTTTCGGTGACGACCGTCACTGCCATGAGAAAACTCGATCTAATGGATGGGTGGTGAGTCGTCCTCATCCTCATTATATATATATATATATATATAAGGGTTAGAAGCAGCGAATCATCCGACTCCCTACTCAGAATCGGATCATCCGACTCCAACTCGGAAGAAGATCGGTACGTTGCGACTCTGACTCGGAGGAAGATCGGTACGTTGCGACTCCGACTCGGACTCCGAGGCATAGGCAACAACCTCGACAAGCTGTAAGTTGCGATGCTCAGGATTTGATCGATACTCAGCAGCACAGAGAAAACCCAATCCGTCGGCATGGTGGGGTGGATGAAGGAGCTCAGAGACGTCGCTTATGATGCCGAAGACCTTCTCGACGAGTTAGAATATCGTCGCCTTCGACAGCAACTGGACGGTGAAAGCAGCAGTCCGGTGAGTGCTTCCTTGTCTCCAACTTGGAGGCTGCTAGGGATGTGGCCACCCGAGCCGGTGGCCTCCTTTGTTCAAGTTTCTTTAGCTTCAAAGGCATCGACAGCACCTCCGACTAGAAGGCAGCTGCTGCTTCCTCTGCTCCCAGACCATGTAGTTATTAAGAATTAAACGAAGAAGATAAAAATATATAAATTATAGAAGCTCTTGGTAGGGAATGTGTAGCTCCAATATTATCACAATATATTGTAGGAATAATTGTGGAGTTGACGTTGAGTTTCTTGAGCAGATTTGTGACCCAATTGAGTTCAGCAGCAGCGGTGGCGATGGCATGGTATTCAGTTTTAGTTGTAGATCGTGCAACCGTCTTTTGTTTTTTAGAACTCCAACTAATTGGAGTAGCTCTAAGGAAGACAATGTATCTTGACGTAGATGTTCTATCATCAAAGTTCCTTGCCCAATCAGCATCAGCAAAGGCATGAAGATGGAGTGAAGTATTTTTGCGAAGAAAAATGCCATGATTAAGAGTCCCTTTAAGATACCGTAAAATTCATTTGATCGCAGACCAATGCGTAGTAGATGATCGATGCATGAATTGCGATAATTTATTGACGATAAATGAAATATCTGGACAGGTGAGAGCCTACTGTAAGGAGCCAAGGACTTGTCGATTTTGAGTTGAATCTGTAGCAGGATTTCCATCACATAATTTAAGTGATTCACTGGTAGAGAGAGGAGTTATAACCTCTTTCGCATCTTGCATGTTTGTCTTTGATAATAAATCTTGAATATACTTTCTTTGTGATAGGAAGAGACCTAAAGAAGTAAATGTTGCTTCCACTCCCATAAAGTAGCTTAAAGTTCCTAGATCTTTCAGGGAGAATCGATCGACCAAGTGCTTTAGAAATGCCTGAGTCTTCAAAGGATCATTTCCTATGACAATAATATCATTCACATATACTAAAAGATATATTATGCTTCCATTGTGCTGGCAAATGAATAACAAGGTATCAAACTTAGAATTGATGAAGCCAATTGAGGTCAAAAACGAGCCAAGCTTGTTATACCAAGCCCTTGGAGCTTGATAAAGTCCATAAATAGCTTTTTAAAGTTTGCAGACATACCTCAGATATTGAGGATGAACGAAAGCTGGAGGTTGCTGCGTAAAGACATCTTCAGTAAGTGTCCACTGTAAAAAGGCATTGTTAACATCAAATTGTCGTATATGCCAGCCCTTTAAGATGGCTAAACTCAAGATAAGACAGATTGTTGTGGGTTTAACAATGGGACTAAATGTCTCTGTGAAGTCGACACCGGGTCGTTGATGAAACCCTTTGGTGACTAGACGTGCTTTATATCTGGCAACGAATCCGTTTGGGTTTCACTTAATTCGAAAGACTCATTTACACCCGATGATATTTTGTGTGTGATGAAAGGGTACTAAGGTCCATGTAAAGTTATAGAGGAGAGCATCATATTCGTCACACATGGCTTTACACTAGTGAGAAGATTTTTGAGCTTGAGTGATTGTAGTGAGTTCACCGGCCTCAGTGGAGGAACCTATTATAGCATGTAAGTCAAGGACTTGACGTGGTTTGAAAATACTACTTTTGGAGCGTGTTGTCATTGGATGTCTAGGGGGGATAGAAGTGGTAGATTGTGTTGGTGGTATAGCCGAGGGCGAGTCACTGTTATGGATCGGGCCAACCGTCGGTACGACAATGTCACTAGGCCTAGGAAATGGTAAAGTCAGTGGCAATGTTGCCGAGTGTATTACTTCATTAATAGGGAAAACTTGTGAGGAAGAGAGTGGAGAAATAGAGAGAGTGAGAAGCTGTTGAACTGGAGTAATAGTAGTATGCAGATCTTGAGGGTAAGGACTGGATGGTGTCATTGGAGGTTCGTGTGATGAGATCGGAGGGATATTCCAGTGATGCATGTTTATTGGAGTAGCTTGCATGGTAGGATTATTTTGAAAAGGAAAGACAAACTCCTCAAAAATAACATGACGTGATATAAAGACTTTTTTAGTTTGGGGTTCATAGCATCGAAAAGTATTATGTTCAAGAGAGTATACTACCTATAAAAGTGCAAGGCTTAGATCATGGTGTTAGCTTATGTGACACATAGGGACGGAGCCATGGATAACATAAACAACCAAAAACTTTTAGTTTATGAAGGTTTGGAAGCTTGTGGAATAATTTTTCAAATGATGACTGGTATTGTAAGACTGGAGTGAGCATATGATTAATGAGATAAACTACAGTTTGAAAAGCTACTGACCAAAAAGGTAGTGGCATGGATGCTTGATGTAGAAGGAAAAGACTAGTTTCAACGATATGCCGATGTTTACGTTCGGCAGAGTCAACCAATTGGGGAGTATATGGGGGTGACTTGAGGTGTTGTATACCACAAGCAGAGAGACAGAATGTGAGGGTTTGATATTCACCTCCGCCATTAGAGTAAACTGTTTTAATGGAAGCTTGAAAAAAATTCTCGACCAACTTTCGAAAGTTGGTAAATACCATGGAAACATCAGACTTATAGTGGAGAGGATATAACAATGTGTACTTAGTAAAATAGTCTACAAAAATGACATAAAAGCGAAAATTGTCAAAAGAAGGAATTAGGGCAGGGCCCCACACGTCGGTATAAATGATTTCAAATGGTTTAAAGCAAGAAATGGAGGTTGTCCCAAAAGACAGTTTATGACTTTTATTGCAAAGATAAGCATCGCAATGATTGACAGTGCTATTGATTTTCAAGGTAGGGAGAGAATAACGAGAAAATAATTTTAGCTGGATAAAATGGGAGGGATGACCAAGACGACGATGCCATACATCAACCGGAGCTGCAACTGAAGAGTGAGCAGTAGGAAGGGTAATTTGCGAAGTGGATGGCCACTCATAAATGTTGTCTTTGTTTTGGCCCTGGACCAAGGATGCCCCCGTGCTCAAATCCTTGACAAGGAAAAAGTTAGGAAAGAATTCAATTGAGGTATTATTTTGTTTACAGAATTGAGAAATGAAAATGAGGTTTCTTTTAATGTCAGGTACACACAGAACATCATCGAGTGTAAAAGTTGTGGTAAGTGAACTAAGCGTTGAGGAACTAGAATGAGTAATAGGAATTCTTTTACTGTCATTGATGATGATATCTTCATTTCCGTCATAGTTGTCGTGGATAGACAAGTTTTGAAGATCAGAGGTGATGTGATGAGAGGCGCCCGAGTCCACAATCCAATTAGGTTAGGTAGGAGTTGGAGTAGTCATGAAATTCGCCCGAGGCCACTGTGATGGAGCAGGGAGTCTAGGGTGAGACCGATAGACTTTCACGGAGTGTCCGACTTTATCACATAGTTGGCAAACGACTCATTGGTAGCTTGTGAAGTCAGGACGCGATGATTGAGGATTATGAAAGTTACCACCTTGATATGGATAAGGGGGGTTTGGTCTTGGCCTCATAGGGCTATGGCAACTTAGCCAAATCGTTGTTGACGTGCTTATTGTACTGGTTGCTTTTCCTCTTGGATTTTTGATTGACCTGTAATAGGTGGTCCGAGCAACCTATCATAACACTTCAAGTATGTCTCATAATCGATCAACTTATCATAAAGTTCTTCGAATGATATTGGTGAATCCCTTGCTTGAAGTGCTGCTATCAGTTCTTCGAATGATATTGATGAGTTCTTAGAAATTTTATGACTGCCACATCATCTTCTCACAACTCAGTTTAAATATAATTAATAAATTATTTTAAAATTTGTACACGTGAGCCTGGTCAAACCTCGCTTGACCGCCAATCCGACTGTTCAGACCCCATCAATCAAGCATTCTATCCCAATCAATACTCGCTCAATTCATTGTGTCTGTGCGTTCGACCATAACAGCAGAGCAGCAAAAGGAAAACCAAGACCTCTGGCCCTCTTCGGTCTCATGTTTCCTCCGTGCTCGTTTGATGGATCAGATCTGTGTTTTTTGTGAGAATTCATTCTGATCTCTTTTCTTTCATACTTGAGATTCATGGTACGTGTATCAGCTTCATGTTGTCGACGTTGAATTTGACGTCGCCGTACCGGTCTTCCTCGGAAGCGTCGCGAGGCGTGGACCGGACGAATGCAGAAACTGTGTCTATGGATATGGCGACGTGGGAAAAAGTTCGACTGTGACTGCCTCGAGCTACATCTAGTGGAAGAGTACTCTCTTGTCGTGAACTCAAGCTCGATCAAAAGATCATGGGTGGTGATGGGGTGAGTGGCTGGGTGAGCTCTCGTCGTCAACATATACGGCGGCTGAGGGTTTCTGAGCCATAGTAGGATTAGAAATACATATTTCATATCGAGCTCGACTCCCATTCTTACTATGATTAGGTAAACATATTGCTCCGACTAATAACAGAGACCAATGTATCATAATGTTTATCGTGTAGAGCACTACTACATATCCATGAATCAATCTAAGGTTGTCTATTTATCGTGTACACGAGCATGTGAGTACAAGTATATACATTTCATATATATTTGTCTTAAACGATATCAGTAGTGTTTGCATGATGATTATCTTCTTGGTGTGAAGATATCGGTACCAACTTGGGAAGCTCTAAACCTTCTCTTGGACTGAGATTTCTGGTGGAACGCCAAAGCACCATAAAGCTGCGGCGCAGGACTGCTACCGATGTGCCGGTCCCGTTCAGAAGCAAGACGATGGTGGAGGTGCAGCCCGTGAAGAGGAAAAGTGCCCAGAAGCAGTCCAGGCCGAGGCTGTCTCTCTCCCTCTTGTCGTCCAGTGGGGGGGAGTTGGACAAGGTAAAGGTGAACCATTTGTTTTCCAGCTCTTTCAGTCTCCCGTTCTCTGCTAGTTGTAGTATGACTTCGGAGAAGTCGTCCGCCAGAAGAGAATGTTTCGGGAACACCTGTGTCGGAGAAGAAGATTGATATGAACAGAAGTGCTCGGTTGGGGAATGCATATTCCTAAAGTATCTGTTAAAATGCTTGGTTAAGAAAAATAAGAAAGCATCTCTATCTGTCGACGAAATGCATGATTGCTAGGATGCCATCTCAACCATGTAGCATAATTGGATCAGCAGAGCAAAGTAGTAATACTCACAAAGCCCAAGCCTCCGAGCCTGTGTGTCTCCCCAGTGACACTGAAATCTTGATGCTGGGAGAGGAAGACCCTGAGATACGGCGTCTCGAGGTAGGCCGCCGTGATGTTCCCACTCTTGAAGGCTTTGACGTATTCTTCTGGTTCGCCAATCGTCTCAATTCTGCTATTGTTATAGAGCAACACTTGCTGAAGGTACTTGAGAACGAACGAGTCTCCATCACAGCCAACCCTACCGCCTGGTGGCACCGGTTCCAGCTTCTCAATGATTAAAATGGAGCTGAGGTTGGCCGTGAAGCTGGTCGTCAAGATCAACACCACGACAAGCCAAACTATAACCACTGTTTTCGTGTAATAGCTATAAACCCTATCTGCACGGTGAAAATAAATCGAGTTACAAGTTAAACAGACGAAGATGCTATGCGACGGCAGGCGGCTCCGGTTTTGCTCACCGTGGGCGAAGAAGATGCTGGAGAGGATTAGCCAAAGCGTAGCTCCGAGCTGCACCCACGGAGTGCCGTGGAACTCGGGGTTGCTCTCGCGCTCCAGGTACCAGACGACGCCCCCAGTGTAGACGAGGGTGGCAAGGATCAGAAACCACACCTCCTTGGTGAATGGCTTCGTGAGCATCCATGGCGTGTGGTTAGGCTTCACAGGGACCAACATGGAAAGGCCGGATGAGAGGAAGGGCTCAGTAAACGTAGCATTCACTGCCCGCTTTGCTAGGATTGTGATGTCCCCCACCACAGCATCCACTTCCTGCAAGAATACCTTTCTCGCATCAGAATTGATATCATGAGAACTGCTAGCTTTCGTCTGCTTCCACGTAGTTTCCTTTTATATAAGAAAGACTTACGAAGTCGTCTCGGTCGACCTTCTCATTTTTAATGATCTATATAAGAAAGTCTACGAAGAAAGAGTCAAAGTCAACAGAGATGTGTCTGGTACCTGGGAAGGGACCTTATTAACGAGATCATCATAGGAGCCATTGAAAGCTTCGAACTCATAAATTAGATCATAGTCGAGGTGTTTCAGAATCTCCCGGAAGACATCCATGCAGAATCCAGTAGGCTGCAGCTTCCCATCTTCAAGATGGGAAGGATGTGGCATTAGGTATTCCAATCTTCAACGTTCCCCATCCTCCTGGGATCTTGTCTGTGTCTCCCGGCCAGAAAACTGGACGCAAGACATCTACTACTCCCCCAGGGCGGCTTATGTCTGCTTCGTTCTCAAAGAAACCATGTCCTTCTGACCAAAACCCTATGTCCTTGTAACTCTTCCCTACTACGTTTACCACAAGAAAGGTCGAGTGGCCTCTCCACTCAGGTAAAAGCCCATCTCTTGTGAATTCTATAAAGCCGCTCAAACCAGTAAAGTTGGTCGAGAGGATACCTTGTAACGTTGTGACACTTCCGGTCTCAGCCTTAGTTGCTATTGCTGCTGCTGCGTTGGCGATAGCGTGCACTGCATCATATGCTCCGACTGCATGCCTCCCTGGTTCGAAAAGATGCTCCCCTTTGAGCTCGTACTCTTGCTTGAATCGACGCCGGAAATCAGAAGAGAAGGCGTGGTAGGAGCTGGTGGTGGTGTTGAAGTAGGTGCTGATTCCGATCACGCCTTGCATGTAGGAAGAGATGAAGGAAGGGGTGAGAGTGGAGTCGAGGAGGGCGGTGACGTCGTCATTCACGATCCATACATGATCCTTGGCCATCATTCCCATATCGTTTGCCTGCTCGAACAATTCCACGGTCAGCTCTAGTGAGGATCGGATGAGGACGAACACCTTCGATAGCTGTCGCGGAATGCCCGTCAACGTTCGGCGGATCATATCGGTTGCGTTAGAGACTGTGCGCAATGGTGGGAAGGCTATATGGTAGTCGATCTGTGAACCACTGTCTCGAAGAGCATCGGAAAAGAGAGCGAGGACTCCGGAGGAACTGCCATATATATCTTTTTCGTAGATGACGATGACTCGCCTCCAGTTAAACGATCTTATGATGGCAGCAAGGCAGCGCACCTCGCCAGTGGCTGGATACGACATCTGAACCACGAACGGCATGGTCGATGACCAGGTTGGTGTTGCGGCAAGAGATAGTACCGTTGCGACCTCGGGCCATGTTCCGATGCCGATGATTGCATCCGCTCCCCAGCTAATGAGATCTTTAGCTGCAAACCCACAAACGCACGCATGCATGCCATTAGCAACAAAGAAGCAGCTAATCCATGACACAAGCGGAATCAACGTACTACCTCTTGTGATCACTTCGAAGGGATCGCTGCTGTTTAATTCGCTGACACCTAGAAAAATTGGCGAAGAAGAGGAGTTGAAATGTTGGGCTGCGATCTCCATTGCCACCTTTTGTTCCTTTCCGATGCGTAAAGTGGTGTTGACTATCGCACCAATATTAATATTAGCTGCTCCGGTTAGAAAGAGAGCTGATGAGAGGAAGAGGATCGAGAAAAACATATTCTGGCTTCCAAACATTTTGGCAATGGTGATGATCATAGAAAAAAAAAGACAATGAACTCTGAGGAATATATCATGGAATGACGGAGGAAGGATCTAGGAAAGTAGTATGTGAGAAAGAGAACAGGATACCAAGTATTTACATGATAGAAAACGTCAACCAGTAAATTACATACACAAGTTATATGGTCGATCATATAATTGCAAGTTTCTATTTTTTCTGCAGCTTCCTCGCAAGTGCAAGCTTGGAAGAACATTAATTCTTGACATTGAAGTTTATGGCGTGAGACAGAAGTCACGATACAATTCAGTATCATCTGGAAGATTGAATTTTTCTTGACAAGAAGCTCAAATCTCAGCCTCGGATGGACGAAGAAGAAGAAGAATAAACTGCACAAAATAGGCTGATAGATACACCAGCGGATTTTTTTGGAGACATGGAGAAAGGCTTAACACCGAAGTTGTTGACTTATGCAGGCTTATCCCCGCAAGTATGCCTGTCATGTCAGTACCATAATATATATATATATTTATATTTATATTGGTATTGCTAAAAACACTATAACTAAGTACAAAAATATTATGAGTTTTTTTCAGGTTAAGTCCTATACTTGGTATAGGATTCATAAATATTTTTCAAATATTTTTTCATCGGTATAAATGAGCAAGTTTGATAAGTATTTTTCTAACTTTTTTTTAATCCATTTCCCTTATAGACCTTATAGTATTTTTTAAAATGTCCTAAACACAATCTAAGTCAAATTATTTGAAAATCTATTTTCGTGTTTATAGCAGTCTTATTCATGGTCAACGAATCGAGAATAAAAAAGAGCATAGTGAAGGTTTCTGCAGAGAAAAAATAATATTATAATAAAGAGATTCTGCCGAGGAAGGTTCATCATTAACTGTTTGTAACATTCATCGAGGCATTTTGCTTGTTCTGTGTATCATGCTACATGATATATGGAGATTGAAAGGCTCGGTTTCTCTGGAGGGTTCGCAGGCTGCCATGGAAGCAAAATGACAGCCTTGGTAAATCCATGCATATTTTTGTTCTCAGTTCTTATGATGAGAAAAACATTGGTGTTCATTTCATATCAGTGAGGACAAAACGACACAATGCATTAAAGAGCTATAAACAGGATTTTCTGTATATAAAGAGATATAAACAATGCAACAAAGAGATATAAACAGGACAAAACATCTGATCAAAGTTGCACACAACGAGTGAGGTCATCGACTCCAAGACGCACTGCAGGGAAGTAATAAGACTTGTGAATACGAGGACGACGACTCACCGAGACACTAAAAGAAGTCATCCCTATACCTATTAAAACTCAAAGCTTAACGCCTAACTTTCACGTTCCCCATCCCGGAAACGTAGCCGTGGCATGAAAGGGTGTTTTGCTGTTGTTGGGACTCCGGTGAACTCGGAACCCCATGAGCTTGATGCAACAGCGGGCCGACTTGAGGTAGGAACACAAACATCGGGGAGGGAGGAATTCCACTGTGAGCTTGGAACCCGTACTGCCCAACGTAGTTTGGAAGATAGGCCATGGTACCTCTTTGATACCTCTTCTTGCTCTCCGTGCAACTGTTCTCTAAGCCATAAAGAACAGAGACGAACCTCTCGTTCCCTCCGATGTTATACCTCCGATTCATCTCGTTGAACACTCTGCTAATTGATAGACTGTCGTATGCCGCTTGATGAGGGTTCCCATCTTGTTCCACTACCAGTTCTTGTGCAAGGCTCGTCAGGCCAAATTCTCTTCCGCTTAATCCATCGCAATACTTTGCTATATACTTGATGTCGTATAATGCACCGAAAACTCGCCTCGCTGCAGCTATAAACTCCCTCAAGGTAGGAGGCAGCGGCGCTCCTCCGGTGATCAGCTTGATCACGTAGGCCACATCGTAGAGGCCATGGAAGGTGACATAAATGGAGCCGTAGCGTCTATCAAAGAGCTTGTTGCGCAAAACATTGCTCCACTTGTCGCCATTGATCCCGTTTCGCCGGTTTCCCTCGAGGTCGTGGCCGCTCCGGCGCAACAGCTCGAGCGACTTAGGCGACGAAGGATGCACCAAGGGATCGAAATCGGAGAAGTTGAACTGCCAGCAGCAGCCCTGCCATGGAGTGCTGCCGTTCTCATCGAATAACGTGATTCCGAGCTGTATCAGCTTCATCCTGTCGACGTTGTATTTGACGTCGGCATACCGATCTTCCTCGGAAGCATAGGGAGGCGTCGGCCGGATGAATCCAGAGAATTCTGTATCTATGGCAGCATAACGAAAATATCGACGGAGATCGACGAGAAGATCGAGCTGGGCGGCGATGTTTTCGGTGACGACCGTCACTGCCATGAGAGAACTCGATCTAATGGATGGGTGGTGAGTCGTCCTCATCCTCATTATACATATATATATAAGGGTTAGAAGCTGCGAATCATCCGACTCCTACTCAGAATCGGATCATCCGACTCCGACTCGGAGGAAGATCGGTACGTTGCGACTCCGACTCGGACTCCGAGGCATAGGTAACAACCTCGACAAGCTGCAAGGCGGCGGCAGCGCCTCCGACCAGGAGGCAGCTGCTGCTCCCTCGGCTCCCAGAACATGTAGCAATTCGAGGCCCCCGGGCACTCCTGAACTGGCATGGGATAGGATCACTAAAGCTAGAATAAGAAGCGTAATCGAAAGGTTGGATCACGTGAGTTGTTGTGTGAGCGAGACCATCACACTCTTTAAATTGGATCGCTGCAGTACTGGCCCGAAGCAAAGCACCAAAAAAGGCGCAACCAGCTCACTGACCAGTACCAAGTTGTTCGGACGAGTGGACGAAGTCAGAAATCTAATTGACCTGCTGCTGCTGCTGAGATCCAACGATGAACCAGTCTCGGTTCTCCCTGTAGTCGGCATTGGAGGGGTTGGAAAAACTACTCTCGCACAACTTGTCTATAATGATCCTAAAATCGTGCAACATTTTGAGCTGAGGATGTGGGTCTGCGTCTCCGATAGCTTCGACGATACCGAGCTCACGAGAGAGATCCTAGAATGTGCATCATCCGGTGATAATCTTCAGCACCCAAGTGTCACCAACTTTAATCGGCTTCAAACAGCGATCAAAGAGCAGGTAACGTGGAAGTGCAGCATAAGGAATTCGTCACACACTATGGCAGACATGACCCACTGCACGATATGGCACAGTCTGTTTCCGGAGATGAATGCATCAGAGTCGAAGAACCTGAATGGGTGCAGGCTTCGTAGTTTACCTTGGGGCATGAAGAACCTGGTAAGTTTGCGGCATCTGATCAATTAATTTCCGACATAGCAGAGATCGGGAGACTGACCTACCTTGAGAGATTACATGTTTTCAAAGTTAGAACCGAAGCTCGGTATCCGATAAGAGAGTTGAGGGACCTGAACGAGCCTCGAAGATCCCTTTACGTGTGGAATCTAGAGAATGTGGAGAGTAAGAACAAGGCAGGTGAGGCCATGTTAAACGGCAAAGAGCATCTTAGTGTTCTACAGTTACAATGGCAATCTGGTGAAAGGAATCAGGTGGTGGATGATGATGATGAAGTTCTTGAAGGCCTTCGGCCACATCCAAAACTCAAGAGGCTAGAGATCATGGGCTGTAGAGGTGCCACATATCCCAGCTGGTTAAAGACCCAATGGATCACCGATCTCAACATCATCTATCTAAGTGGTTGCAGGCGCTGGGAATCCCTCCCCCCTCTCGCTCAGCTGCCTTCGCTGAAGGTACTCTGGATACAGGGGATGCAAGCAACGAAGAGCATTGGCTGGGAGCTCTTTACATCGACGAGTAATCAACCCTCCTTCCTGTAACTTTTTACATCGACGAGTTATCACGCACATGCCAACATCCAAAAAGTGAGAGAGAGAGAGAGAGAGAGAGAGTAGCAGCATTCATCAGTAATTGTTTGTAGCATTCATCGAGGCATTTTGCTTGTTCTGTGTATCATGCGACATGATATATTGAGATTGAAAGGCTCGGTTTCTCTGGTGGGTTCGCAGGCTGCCATGGAAGAAAAATGACAGCCTTGGTAAATCCATGTATAATATTGTTGTCAGTTCTTATGATGAGAGAAACATTGGTGTTCATTTCATATTAGTGAGGACAACGACACAATGCAAGAAAGAGATAGAAACAGGATTTTCTGTATCATCTGATCAAAGTTGCACACAACAAGTGAGGTCATCGTCTCGCACTGCAAGGAAGTAAGACTTGTGAATACGAGGACGACGACTCACTGGGGACACTAAAAAGAAGTCATCCCTATACCTATTAAAACTCAAAGGTTAACAACCACCGAAAAATCTTAACTATAACCCCTAACTTTCACGTACCCCATCCCGGAAACGTAATCCATTGATGTGGCATGAAAGGGTGCTTTGCTGATGTTGGGACTCCGATGAACTCGGAACCCCATGAGCTTGATGCAACGGCAATAAGTTGGGCACCCCATAAGCTTGAAATGG